ATGCTTGATCCTCACCAGTACATACAAGCTAGTGCAAAGACAGGTGTGACAGAGCCATTACATAACAAAGGCTAGAAGTAAATAAGCTTACAAACTCTCAAGTTGCTTAAACACTTAATAAATTAAGCTCTCTTAAAACAAACCTACATTCCATATACAAAGAGAGTAGGTACTTTTGAATATCTCCCAAGAGAGATCCTCTGTCCTAGATTAGACCCCTCCCTATGCTTTTTCAAATAAAATATGAAACTAATTCCCACTGCTGTTTAAATCCAACAAAAAGTAACACTGGAGAGGCCACAAAAAGTTTGGGATCCATTTTTTAGTTGGTATATAAATTTAATAAATAATATACCTTTGGATAGAAACTGTCGAGTTATGGCAAAATACCATGACTAATATTTACACACAGAGATAGTTCATTTTTTAAAAGCTAAGTTTCAGAGAAGGGAACTCAATTAGAATGTTACATTCTATTAAGAAAAAAGGTCAAACAGCAATTTAATATGTCAAAACCCATAAAATCAAAGGCTCTTGTATCTCAAATACCAAAAAATGGCTATACAATAGGAAATTAAAAAACTTGGGAATCAAAAATACCACTTCACTTGGTTAAAATATTTACATAGCAGGGTAATACAAGTCTAACATGGATAAGAATATTTCACCTTTTTCAAGGTCTTATTTCTGAAATTCACTCACCGTAACTGCAACAGGGGTTGATTCAGATGGAGCCGTGGAGCTTTGGTATGCCATCCTACTATGCACAGAAGTCTGGTCATAGGAGGAAGTTGTTACTGAGCTAGTGCTCTGGGATGAGCAAGTCACGCTGGAAGAGGTGATGACAGAGGTTGCGTACATAGTCTCCTGTACTGTATTGGATATTGGTGAAGAAGTATTCAAAGGATCACTGGAAAAAGTAAAAATTATTTATCATCTTGGTAAACATAATCTCAAACACCTTCATGAAAATATCAGCTCCTATACAGTTATCTAGAACTACCTTAAACATGTAGTCAAATCTACATTATTTATACTAGAAAAACCTAATCATGAAAGAAAATATATAATTTTGCTTTGGTCCCCAGTAATCACTGCTTCAAAGCCATGAGCTGCATTAAGCACCATTCACCTTCCTTCTGCCAGCCCAACCAAAATAAGAATTTACACACAAGCACTTTTCAGTCATGTTATTTTCACCTTCTCAAAGGATAAATTAATGACCCTAATATCTCTTTTTTAAATTACTAGATCCATAGTCTGGTATATGATGGAAACACCCAACAGCTCTTTACAACAGAATTCTAACATTACAGTAGCAGTCAAATAGAAAGTAGTATGCAAAGGGGAAAAAAAACCTACTTTAAAACATGCAGGAGTGTTTTACTTTCTGAACAGCTTAAATCATTGAATGTGAAAGTTCTTTTTTAGTAGTACTTCTAAATTAACTTCAGGAAGCTTTTTACTGAAGCAAATTCTTGAATGAATAAGGAAGAAAAAATGGATTACTGATATGTTGGCATTTATCATTGACTATTTTAGCATTTCAGTAAGAGCTTCTGCATACTGAAAGCCTGGCTTCTTTTTTCATCCCATAGTAGCATCAGATCTGTTATCTGGTGCCAATCTACTGGCACACATATATGGTACAAGGGTCATCACCCCTGGATCAAAACCAGAAAAATTCAAGTTGTGAGGAACAAATTCTCAAATACATTTTAAAATCAGGACAACATGAGAAAGCAATTCTATAAAGGGTAGCTTATTATAAAGTTATTCACATTCATGTCAATTCCAGCTTCACATCAACCCATCCAGTGAGATTTTGATTGTCATTAGAAAATAAATTTCTCCTTTAAGATACCATCCACAGAAAGTACTTAGCCTTACAAGTCATCATATTTCCCCCTCCCATTACATGGTAACTGTGCCTTGATGTTTTTGGCACAAACTTGACCCCTTGAAGGCATGTAAGAATGCACATCGAGAGCTCACACGTACTTTACAGATTTTGAGTGTAAGCTATTGTTGGCCGCCTGGCTTGTATTCTCACTGCTTGAAGTTGATCCAAACTCTGGGAGTGCAGGCTATGATCCGAACTCTAGAGCTCCAAACTGAACATTTAACCCTGACATATCTGCTGATCCAGGCATCTCCACTGCAGAAACAGGAATCTTAAAGGAGGGAAAAAAGCGCCATGATTCCTTTGCATGCACTATCTGTATAAAAGATATCTGTAACTGACACCCTCTCCCCTCCTTAACTATAGGCTTCTTCAGTTACTGCCTCAGCCTTCACTGCTAACTAGATATGTGACAACCCCCCCACTTAACATCACATAAATTATCTACATTATTGTAACCTGAAATTAATTAATTGATTCTGCACCCTGATCTGGAACTGAAAAAGTAAGCTATACTATTCTACAATATCAAAGTGTCATCCGTGTCCATCCCCCTTCAGGCAACATTCATCTTGTGGCTATTAAGTCAATCCAAAATCACTCAGCAAGTCATTTTCTACACAAAACAATCAGATGTGCTTGGAAAAGACATCACACTATTTTTGACCTAAAAGCTATCTAGCTTAGATTTTCCTGCTTTATAAACAAGAAACAGACCATGGTCTTTGTTCTCCTTCTCCCTAGCAACTTATACACAGAACAGAATCAAAGAATCATTTAGATTGGAAAAGACCCTTAAAATCATCATGTCCAACTGTTAACCCAACACTGCTGATACCACCACTAAACCATGCCCATAAGGTATCCCCTGAGCCTCCTCTTCTCCAAGCTGAACACTCCCAGCTCCCTCAGCCGCTCCTCACAGGTCTTGTGCCCCAGCCCCTGCCCCAGCTCTGTTCCCTTCTCTGGACACGCTCCAGCCCCTCAGTGTCTTTCTTGCAGTGAGGGGCCCAAAACTGAACACAGGATTCGAGATGCAGCCTCACCAGTGCCCAAGTACAGGGGGACAATCCCTGCCCTGGTCCTGCTGGCCACACTGTTCCTGATACAAACATATAAAAGCTTGTATATTTACTAACAACAAGCCACCACTCAATTACCCACCTTGGATGCTGGAGTTATCCTCCGTTTTGGTGGTTTTATGTGTTTCTGCTGGGTTTGATGGGCAGTCACTGCCTGATTAGCCACAGACATAGTGGGGAGCTGTAACATTTTGCTAACAGTTGTAGAGGTGTCTACTGGCAACGGCTCACAGAGTTTTACCTGGGAGGAGGACTCCAGCCCAGGAGGAGGAACAGGGACTGCCTGCATTTGTTGTTGCTGTCGCTGGGTCAGCTGGCTCAGAACTGGGGATGGTTCAGGCTGGGATTTAAAGTCTGGCCAGCGTTGGGAAAAAGAAATATCAAAATTAAAGCATTAAACTCTACTTTTCATGCTTCTACTCTTTACGAAAGAATCTGAGTGAGTTGACACACCTGACATCTATGATTTTTGTTGAGTGTGCATGTCTCTCAGACATCACACAAGTTTCATATTGAACATTACCACAGCAATAATAAGGCCAAAATTTGATATTCTCTAAGACAAACAGCTGTGGGCAAGCATTATTTAGCTTTCTTGAAAAATATGAAGATAAACCTATCTATACAGTCACATAATGTTATCACACATTAGGCCTCAAACTGTTATGTATTATTTTAATCAAACACTGCAAGTTTCACTGCAATTAACTGTTCCAATAAATTGTGATTACTTGAAAGGCGTCTGGAGTTGTAATTTAGAGGTATTAGGAGTTAGGATTTCCTGCCCCTACAAAGGAAAAGATTTTCAACACAAATATGAAGTCATCTACCATCTCAATCTGGCTGAAAGTCAAGAGATACTGGACACTGACAGGTTTTTTTCCAAGTCTTCCCCTTTCATATTTTTCAGACACTGAAAGCCAGGCAGTGGATCAGAGCAATGTTCAACAACCGTAAGAGATCCACAGCACTTGCAGGGTGATTTATTTCAGTTGGTAAAGTGCATTAGAAAAACTTAAAACATACATAAACATTTTTTCAGAATTGTTGTGTGTAAATCATAACTGCTACCAAACTGGCTGCTTATCTACCTGGAAACATATACACATACACACGAGAGGGATACATGAGCTATCACTCTTCACAGTGAGAATACTGATAGAAACTACACTGCAAAAAACAAGTTTGTGTCATTTTCATTGTTTCCACTAATTTTACTAAATTAAAAGTCCATACAATTATGAATAGACAAAATGGGTGACCTGCATCATTCTCA